CCGGAGCCGGTCCAGCCAGCCTCCTGCGCACTCTGTCACTCGATCGGTACGCGAACTCCCTTGGCGTCCGCAACCTGATGCAACCATTGGCAATCCTGGCGCAATTCATATCGCTGCTCGGAAAAGAGTCTCCGTGTGTGGTGCGCGGTGATGGCGTCTCGCTCACCCCTTCTGGCCCGTGTCACGAACCTGCAATGCCGTGCCAGGAAATGTTGCGTCTGTATTTTTTTGCCACCACCCCGCAAATAACCTTCGGCAGGGCAGTGCAGGGTGCTGCGACGAGTCGTCGTCCCCCGCGATGTGCGACGCGCGGCCAAACTCACAGGGATGATGCTCCTTCCCGGTTACGACAGTAACTTACCGTAATTTTCACTTGGTGCGGAACAGCTTGATCGCGTTTCCGCAGGGAATTTTGACTGAAACATTAGACATATCTTTTTGTATACTCCCACTGTGTCCTTTTCCCATTTCCCCCTTTTGCATAAGCGCTTCGCAGTTCTCGTGCACCGGCGATAATGAGCAGTTTCCCTGACAACCGCGCTGCAGGGAAAAACGGCCCGCGATACTACTTGTTATCTCCGATCAACGGGGGAGGCGGGCGTCGCCGTCGCGCGCAAGGCGCGGAGGGCGCAAAGGGGGGCGGAAGGGTTGGGCGCGCCGCGCCAGCCGCGCACTGGTGGCATTTGGGCTGCCTACCTCCCAGGCGCGAGGCCCCACGGCCCCACCCTGCAGACCAGCTCGGCAGGCGGGCGCAGTGCGTGTAGGGTGTGCCAGTTGGCGCCCTTCGAATGCTTCTAGAGGATACATTAGACGCACAATCAGGCCCGGCCAGTGGCCAGTCGAGTCAGAGTGATGCGATCACCCAGTCTTTGGGCAGCGTCACCTTCACGTCTCGTCCCACCCGACATGACCTCGCGTCTCGCGTATTTGTTAGAATGTCTGTGTGACTCAGGCCGTTGTTAGCCCTCAATTCTCCCCCCGCCTCCTCAGCGCGATGCGAAGACTCGCAAGTTGACTGTCATCGTCATCATTGCCGTGCTCTTGCACCTATCCTATGTAAAACGTTTTGGACACCGCCTGTATACAACACCTCACGCACAACTTTTTCCAGACGAGCATCGACGCTCGCTCGCTACAGGGCTTTGCAACACACTATCTCGCTCTCACTCACTCTCTCTCGTTCTCACTCGCTCTCTCTCCTGCCTCTGCCGGCGGCTATTTCGGTGTCGGGCGGCACAAGGAGCAGGCGGGTCATCGCGGTAGGCGCCGTAGGAGAAAGAGTGTTGTTAGGCGATCTAGAGCTAACCGGTTACACGTTAAAAGTGCAGAGCGCAGGGCGCAGGGCGCGAGGCGCGAGGGGCGGCCGCCACGGCCGGCGGCGGGGCCTGTTGCTGCCCGCGGCCGGGGCCAGAGGAGCCAGAGGGGCCAGAGCGTGCTGGTGGTGGCAGGAAGTTGCGGGGCGGGGCAGGGCGGGGCGGCGTTACGCCCGCGACTAGCGAAGTGGGGCTCTTATGGGAAGCGAGAGGGTTGCGGGGCGGGGGCGCGCGGTGTCTGCGGGCGCGTCCAGCGCCTCTGACCAAGCCGGGCCAGTGCACCAGGGGCAGGGCCTCGGGCGAGGCGCGCGGAGAACACATACGCCGCGCTGGCCATCGTAGAGCCGCGCACCGCCCAGCGCGCCGTGCTCACAGCACCAGGGCGGCTCTGTCGGGGAGCCCAGAGAGCTGGACGAGGGCCTGGATGTCCTCAACGGGGGCCCCCCACACCGCCACGGGGCGAGCCGCCATCGCCGCGTCACACCCAGTGCGGCCACGCAGCAGCAGCAGCAGCCACAAGGCCCTCTGGCCGGCAGCCAGAACACCGGTCACCGAGCGCCATTTGAATGAATCCGCAACTTAATCTGGACTGGCAGGAGCCACCGATGAAGTTTACCGACTGCATTTCCTGTGCTTTCCCCGCTGGTAATTGGCCGACCCCTCCTTCGCGACTCTAATGCGCACGCGCGTTGGACGAGAGCGCGAGGAGCGAGAGGGAGCGAGAGGGAGCGAGAGCACGTGTGCGAGTAAGAGTGAACACCGTCTACCACCGCTCCACGGCCGCGCCCGTGCACGCCTAGAAGCGCGGCGGGCGACACGACCGTATTCGCGATAACTCACCGGCCTGCGAGAGTTGCCGCTGAAAGCTTTCCCCCTAATTTACATAACAACATTTTGGCATATTCCCGCGCGCTTGCAGAGTGCCGCCACAAATATCGCGAAAACCTGTCAAACAGCCCGTTTCCGGCCCGCGAGGCACGCGCGCGGCGGCGGCGCCAGATTCAGATTTGCCCGCGGCGGACCGGACGTTCGCGGGCAGGGGGGAAGGCTGGGAGGGAAGGCTAGCTACCCTCCTCTTTTGCTCTCCTCTCGGCTCTCCCTGCGCGGCGCAGCGCCTTCCGAGGAGGTCTATTTTCAGAGCGGCAGCCGCCCGCAGCAGCCCAGCCCTGGGCAGGACCGCCTGCCCCTCGTGTGGCGGGGCGTGGCGGTGGCGGAGAGTTGCGGGGCGATCGCAACAGCCTCAGAGGAGGACGCGAAAGTGTGGCGGAATGTGACGCTAAATCACTGAAAGCGAATGGAGACACGGAGGTCCTCGCAACAAACACGGCGCTGGATGAAGCCCGCGCGCGACTTTGAAGGTCCTGCTGGAGTGCTGCCTAGTGTCGCCTCCTGGTAAGAGAGCCCTCCCCACCCCTCCCCAATCCCCGCCGCTGGAGAAACCGAGCAAGCCATGGCCGGGTGGAACAAGCTGACGGTGGACTCGGCCGTCATCCACAGCCTCCCCGGAGGACCGCTTCTCTCGTCGTCATCGTCGAGCTCGTCCGGGCGGAGGCGGCGCGCGGTGAGTGTGACCATTTACTCTCCTCTTCTTGATTCCTTTCTTTCGCCCCTCTTCTCCTTCTTAACCACGACACCAACTTTTCACCTGCACCCCGAAACTTTTCTATGCTGCTTGGAATTCACTGCGGCCGTACAGTCGTACACCACGATGACCGAGCGGGGCGGGGCGGGGCGGGGCGGGGCACGGTGTCCGGAATGCTTATTTCACGCCGGGTTCCTTATGCGAGGACCATGTAAGAACAGGCTCGTGCATACCGTGCCCCTCGGAAGTTGCGAGCAAAAGGGAACGGCGGGTCTCCGAGCGACCTGACCTCAGTTGTCCACAAGACCCCGGTGCCTCTAGTGCACGTCGCGTTCGAGTCCACCACAGCGCCTCACCGTCCAGCGCGGTCACACGCGGTACCGCCGCCGCCGCCATGCAGGGCTGGAGCGTGGCCGAGGCCGTGGAGCGACACAGGCTCCTCGAGGACCTCAAGCGAGGCACACGACGGTCGCCGGGAACCGTGAGTCGAGTCTTGAAACTGAACCCGAACGCCTCACGTCGGCTACCCCCGCCGGGGCCGACA